CGCCTGTGCGCAGAAATGGGGAGGCAAGGGTGATTTCTTCACGCGCGAATGTGCTGTCTTCGGGTGCGAACCACTCGTTTCCATGCCAACGAAGACGTCGACGACGAAGACGACGACGACGACGACGACAGGCCATCATATTTTACAACAGGGACAAAATAAACGGTGGAACATGTACGCGGCTGGAGGGCAGCCCACTTTTTCAACCTGACGATTGGTCGCTTCCTGAATGCCTGGAGGGGTCCTGGACGCTTGTGGGGCTTCTGAGGTCCTTTCGAACCACCGTCCTGCGAACTACGGCAACGTGGAGTGTAAGAGAACTGCTGGAAGCTATAGTGGAACGGTGTGGTCTCGCGTTTGAGCTCCTGGTGACTCTCCGGACCAGAAGACTCCTTTTGGGGCTGTTTTGGGCCGTCTTGGAGCCCTCTTGGGCCGTCCCGGAACCCTCTTGTGGCCGTTTTTGGAGGCCAGGCCGGCCAGGGGCTCTTCGGGGGCCCTCTTGGGACACTCTTGGGGGCTTCCTGTGGCTCGCTTGGGGCTCTCTTGAGAGTTCTCGGGGCCCTCTGGGGCCCCTCTTGGGCCGCCTTGGGCTTCTCTTGATCCGTCTTGGAGCTCTTTTGGGCCGCCTTGGGCCGCTCATAAAGGCCTCGGAGGCCGTCCTGGGGCGATCTTGAGAGTCTCTGGGGATGCCGTGGACGCTGTGAAAGCGGAAAAAGCTAATATCTTCAAAAGCGTACGTTTCCTCGGGGAATGGGACGATGTTTGGCTCTGGGGGGACCCTTTTGGGGCCTCTTGGACAATCTTGGGGGCCTCGTGGGCCGTCTTGAAACCATATTGGGTCTTCTTTGAGCGCTGATGGGCCGTCTTGGGCCCGTTTTGGGCCCGTGGGCTCCGATCGGCAGGGGCGTCCAACTGCCCGGAAGGCCGCCGGGACTCCGAAAGGGCGTCCAGGGCGTTCGCTGGGTGGAGGGCAGGGGCGTCTGGGATGTCCTGGGGTGGTGGTGGTCCGGTTTAAGGGGGGGGGTGGGGCGGGGGTTCTGGGTAACAAAAAAAATAATAGGAATATATAGAGTAGACTGGGGCTGCTGGAATTGGCGTGCGATGTGCTGGCGGAGGTGCTGCCAAAAGCCGATCAATGACGTCGGCTCGAGGCCAGAGCAGCGAGAAATGAGCAAGAAACGAGCGGAGGGAGAGGAGCGATGGGGGAGTGAGGAGGAAGAGGAGCGAGTGAGAAGGAGGAGGAAGGAGGAGCCGTCGCGGGGCTCTCTGGCGCGCTCTTGAGGCCTCGGTAGGGCCGCGTGGACCGGCAGAATGGAGATGCGAGGGGGGAGGAGGAAGGGGCTGGCAGCGAGGAGAGTGGAGCGGGGGACCAGCAGAGAGGAGCGAGCAGCGAGGAGTGAGAGGAGCAAGGAGCAAGGAGCAAGGAGCGAAGGGCTCGGAAGAGCTAAGGCGGGCCCCAGGGGAGCAATGAGGGGAGCACTGTGGACTATACCGTCCACGGAACTAGAATCGCACTGCAAAGGTGAGGATCGCTTGCCTGCTTGTCTGCTCGCTTGCTGTCGTGGCTATGAGATTGCCAGTCTGGTGGCCTGACTAACTTTTGGTCAGATCGCCTGCTTTCCGTTCTGCTCGTTCCATGATTTGCACGTCCGCTTGCTGATGTTTGCTGATGTTTGGTGCTGCCTGGTGGAATTTTCTACATCGATGCTGCTCTTTCTCGCCAGTACTGGCTGGTGTTGGCCGTTGCGTTCTGCTGTCCGATGCGGCTTGGCGCTGCTACGTGCTGCCGCTTAGTGCTGGTTGATGCTGCGTGCCTGCCACGCTATGTTGCTGCAGCTGCTTGATGCTGCTGCTGTTGCCGCTGCTGCTGTTTGCTGCTTGCTGCTTGCTGCTTGCTGTAGCTGTTGCGTGCTGTGCTGATGCTTGCCGCTGCTGCTCGTGGCTGCAGGGCGCTGCTGAATGCCAGTGCTGTTTGCTGTTGCTGTGTGCTTCCGCTGCTTGAGGATGCTGCTTCTCGCCACTCCTGCTCGTCGGCGCAGCCTGCTGCTCGTGAGAGGATCGAGGGGTCAGGATCGAAGAGGGAGACAGGAACAGCGAGGAGCAAGGAACGAGAAGAGAGGAGCGACGGCCGAGGAGGGATGTGGGCCATCCGAGGAGGGAAGCGGGAGATGCGAGTGGCCAACATGGAGGAGCCAGAGGCCAGGCGAGAGTTGCGAGGGGCGAGGAGTGAGCAGAGAGGAGTTACGAGAGAAAGTGGGATGGGCGAGGAGCAGTGGGTGAGGCGCGCGCGCGCGCCGCGGCGCACCCCTCGCCCCGCGGCGCCCTTCCCGGAAGGCCGCCCCCGCGCCACGCCCCCTGCCTCCGGGGGCAAACCATACGCGGGCACATCGTGGCGGGCGAGGAGCTGGCCCTTGCTCGGCCGTCCCCCGCCGCTCGCCTCCTTCGCTGCGTCGTGCGCGCGCCTCTTTTCGCTTCCTCGTGCCAGATGTGCTCCAGGAGGATCCTCGATGGCCCTCGCCGAGAAGAACATGCACACGCCCGGGCGATACCCAGGGACGGCCTGCCGCCCAGGCGGCTGCAGAGTTTGCACTCCTGCGGTGCCACGTCGGGGCACACCACCTTCCAGCCGCCCAATATGAAGGGGCCCCAGGACACACAAATAAATACACACAAATAACAAGATTCCCCATATTTTCCCTTATTCTCTGGGTTTTTGTCTTCCCCCCCACTTCCTATATTTTCCCATGTTTTCTGGGGAATCGACGATTAATTGTGTCTGTGCGTTTTTCTCCCCCCTGACACAAGGGGACAGGGGCACCCCGACGATGGAACAGCTCATCTCTTATGCAGTTCTCTTCCTGCTGAGATGTGCGCAGAGGGGGGGGGGAACGGCGAGAGACCTAACCGGTATGCACACAACCTGCCTGGGCCCCGCGCAGATCCTTGGCCTGCGCCAGAGCCCCCCCCCCGGCGGCGCCAGGGAGGGGGGTGCGGCGCAGATCCAAGAGATCCGCGCGGAGCTCCTCCGACAGTTTCTGCTTAGGCAGCTCTTCTTCTCCGAGGGAACGCTTCGACCTCGAGGGGCCGATGCGTCGCCCATGTGCCGTCTGTGCACCGTCGATGCAGACCGCCCCGGGCATCGTCGATACATCGTCGAGACATCGCCCTGATATCAACGATGCGTCGTCGATGTATCAACCATTCAAGGTCGATGCATCCCCCCCTGTGCCTACCCCCCCATCGTTGCCCCCGACGTCTGCGCGCCGCCGAAATGCGGCCGCGCCGCTCTCTCTCAGCCCTCGCCCGGGGCGCTTGCCGCGGCAAGCGTGGCCTGCCAAGGCTCGCCCTCGGCCCTCGAGGGTCCATCCAGGGGCGGGGGGGGGAAGGCTCTCTCTTTCCGACGCTCGTGGCCCCCTCCAGGGACTTCTGGGGGTCAGGGTCCACTCGCCATCGCTCGGACGTCCATTTCCCGTGCATTTGTCGGTTTCGTGCGTGTTTTTTTTGGGCTCGATGGTCCAGGATGGTCCTCGAGGGTCCTCGCCGAGAAAAAGATGCACACGTCCGAGCGATGCCGAGTCCAGGGCGGGAGCAGAACGGGCCGGCGGTGTCCAGCCTCCTGCTGCCAGGTCTATCGGGTGCGCCGCAGAAGGGGCGCCCAGAGGCGGGGGCGGCCGGCGCAGCACGGCTCGAGGCATGTGCGAGGGCGAGGGCGGGCCAGGGAAGGTGCTGAGAGAAGGACAGAGGGCCATGGCATCCGGGAGCTTCCCACGGCTCCCGGGCACGGTATCCCCACCCACCTAGTCCTCAAGCCCCTCTGGGATAGACGCCGCCGAGTCCGCGATGTGCGAGGCTTCTCCGGGGCGCCTGCGGGGAGGGCCACTCCTCCATCTTTGCAGGGGTGTGTGGCTTATTCGCATGGGACCCCCGTGAGCAGCCTCTTGGCCAACTTTGAGCGCCCTTGGCGAGCATCACGTGCTCTTCTTCTCTTCGCCTCGCGGTCCTTCTCCTCGTTATCCTCTGCCTCATCATCCACCTCGTATCCACCTCGTCTTCCTCCCAAGCCTCATTGTTTTGAATACGTGCTTTCACTATTCGCGGCAAGGAACATGACGTGGGACGACAGTAGAATGATACATTTTCAGGCGATCGTGGTAGTGTCATTGTCGTAGAATTCTGGGGTAGACGTGGATTGAATTGCACCGTCCCCGAGCGAGCACGCACGGAATGCACCTGGAACGGTTTGAGACGTGCAAGACACGCACCATTTTCGCGCCATGGTGCGCATCAGCCTCGAGCAGACACGTTCGAAGCGATAATCTGGCGGCGAATCCTGGTGTGCCCGGTGACGCTACCTGAGGATCCGACAGGAGGGATTCTGCTGTGTCTGATCTCGGTATTGGCCCCCACTGGAACCGCACGGAAACGTGTTTTTTGGCTTGGCAACCGTTGACCCAACCAATTGCATCCCGAAGCACCACCCACTAAGCTTGCCGCGCTTCCTTCTGGGCTAGCCGTGCTCTGAGCGCCGCCCAACCTTCCAGCAGGGTGGTCTGCGCAAGCGTCTGCTGCGGCCTCGAGGCTGAGGCTAATGCTCTTCTTCCAGCTCCGCGCGGCCGACGGGCACGTCACGCAACTCTGGAAGCTTGCCGTGGTGACGTAAGTTGGTGACCATCTTGTGCCATGTACCACTGCGCGGTACAGCTCGCCATGCCTCCCGTCAGGTACATGCTCGAACCAGGGCCATCGGAAGCATCCCGATCAGCACGATCATGATGACTTTGCTTTGGCAGCCGCTCCCATTCCAGGGATGCTGAAGACAAAACCGCTCACGCAGCCGAAAGCTCTTTCGTAGCACTCGCTGAAGCCCTGTGGCCGAGGTGGTGGTTTCGGCGCGGATTCAGACTCGTCCAGCCCAGGGGAAGGCACAGTAGTGTTGAAAGCGCGGCGCAGTAAATATCCAGCATGCGCAAGGCCTCCAGAGGCTGGCCGGCCGAGAAGCCTCACAGCCACAGCACCCGGGAGCCCGTGGCCCCCAACGCCCCCTGGAGCTCTGGCAGAGCCGCGAGGAGCTGCGCGTGCACTGCAGGGGGCGGGTTCACGACCAGTATCCCCGAGCCCTGCAGGGCCTCTCCGCGTGGCCACGAGCCCTCGAGCCACATCTCGGCCACCAGCACGCTGCCTGCGGCGAGGCTCTGGACCCGGCTGTGCAGACTCGCGACCTTTTCCTGGTCCACCAGCGGGTACCACAGGGCCACGCAGCTGGAGGGCGACCTCTGGAGTAGGCGCCTGAGGACGAAAACGTTCCATGTGCCGTGGGATTGTATGGAATCGTATGGCGGGTCCAGGAGTACCAGCTGCCGCCCGCTGGGCCAAGGCCAGGGCCCAAAGGTGAGCCGCATGTAGGAGTCGTCGTGCAGCAGCGAGAGGCGGCGACCTACCCCTCGGTCCAGCAAGGAGAAGGTTCGCCTCAGGGCCTCGTAGGGCTCCGTGGCGGCCTCGAACAGAACGGCGGTGTCCTGTGGCCTCAGCCACTGCCACGCCAGCGCAGGCGATCCTGGGTAGAGGGTCAGGGCTCGCGAGGAGGAGTCCAGGGCTTTGTTGCACCTCCACACCGCGGCCAAGTAATCTGCAACCAGACCCTTGCCACTGCCTTCAGCTGCGTGTGACAGCCGGAGCACGCCCCTTTCCAATATCCGACATCGGAGCGTCTCCTCGGAACTGAGGTTGTAGACACCAGAAGCGGCGTGCATGTCAATGAAGGTGAAGGGATCTGCGCCCGCCGCCATCTGCTGCAGCAGCGCCACGAGAACGATGTGCTTGAAGACGTCCTTAGGGCCACCTGCCTCGACGTCGTGCACGTACAAGCCTTCGTCTGGGCTGCCGGCGGCAGCAGGGTCCACACGGGCTCCCAGCATCGACTCGAGCAGGTCCAGGGCCTTGGCCCACAACTCGCTGACCTCGCACGCTCTGATCCCAGCGCTATAACTGATGACGTCGGGCTCCAACCTAGACTCCCGCATCTCGCTGAGCAACGCCAGAGCCCGCTGCCACTGCTTCCCTCTCTCGCAGGCGCTGATCCCAGCGTTGTAGCCGACTAGGGCGAACCTGTGGACTACGTCCACCAAAGCTCTTCGAAAAAGCTCGCGGGGTCCTAGCGGCGATGCCGCCGCAAGGATTTCATGATTGCGTTGGGTGGCGTGCTCTTCTGCGGCGTCTCCGCGCGCCTCTGGGATGTTGGGGACTGCACTCCCAGGAGGCCTCCGGTGTATCTTGCCTCACTTGGGCGGCAGCAACAAAGGGTGCCCTGGAGCTGCCAGGCACTAGCAAGGGGAATCAACACGTTGCTGCGCATTTTCTGGAGCGTGCGCCCACAGGTTTAGTGTTTGAGGATAAACAGTGGGAGATCAAAGCAAAGGAGGCGCTGCAGGCAAAAGGGGTTAGAACGCAACATGAAAAGCTTGGACGAGATAGCGAAAGCTGCGAGAGAGGAGATTGAGAATCTTCGCGACGCTGTGAAGAATGGAGTGTAGTCGCGGTCGAAGAAGTTACCAGGCTTTCGGGCGCTGGCTGAAGTGGTCGATAAGAAGTATCAGCAGATTTGCGATTGTACTTGCTGGCGTCTTGTGATCACCCATGCGTCTATGCAGGTTCGTGGCTCGTTGATTTCATTACATTTCATCGGAAGCTCATTGCCATTTCATTGGGCATGTGTCTGGCGCGCTGACGTGGACGGCGGGATGACGCCCTCCCCCTCCCCCCCTCATCCTGCCCCCCCCCTCCGGCCTCCTACATCACCTCATTTCTTTTCTCGTCTTGCCCTGCGGCTGCTTCTGCATTTGTGTGAAAACCTTGCTCGCGACAGGAGTATCGCGAGAAGAGCGACGATGCCAAAGCGAAACACCGCCAGCAGTGGGCAGAAGAAAGGCTCGAGGAAAAACAGGAGTGGCTGGAAGAGGAAAACACAATCGAGCAGGACATCAAAGACGGAAAGTATCGGTCATTCTCACGCATCGTACAGGACAAAGGGGCAGTGGGGATTTGGTCGATGGGTTCATGGCGAGTATGTTGTTCTGCTTCCGTCTACACGCATTTTCTTCTGCCACGTTGTCTCTCCTGCCTGCGAACCTGATTGCACCCTGCATTCGCCGCGAGGAAGAGGGCGGCACGGACGACGAGGGCAACGTGGAGGCAGCCCGCAACTACGTGCAGACCTGCATCGACATCGCCCCCCCATGATCAAATTCGACTCTATGTCGAAGCGGGCGAAATGTCTATACCTGGAGGAAGGGCACCGGGAAATCTTCGAGAATAATAATAATAATAAGTTGAAGCGGTCTTATTTCGGAAAAGAGGCAGGCCGCAGGGGGGGCGAGCACGATTGCGAGCATGACTCAGAGTACGATTCATCCTGCGATTCGGAATATGATTCCGACGAAGGTGAATATTCATATGAGTCATCAGTAAACGATTTGGCAGAGAGGATGGAGTGGGGCAGGCTCATGGACAGGCAGATGGCAGAATACTTGCGTGATTATATCAAACTGTCCTCGCCGTTTGCAATCCAGGGGGCGGCAGAAGCACAACCAAAAAAGATGGCGAAGCCAAAGAGAGGTGCGGCCTCTGCTTCAGCTGATGGAAATTCTGAGCCCGAGCATGAGGAGCCCCAGGAAGAGCCCGATAATGAGCCACATCGCAAAGGCAAAGGCACGGGCAAGGGGAAACACAAGAGGAAGAGACGACGAAAGCCGAGTCCCCCGCCGAGGAAACCGAGGAAGAGCAAGCAGCGAGATTGGCAAAGGAGGCGGAGGAGAAAGCCAAAGAGCAGAGGAAGGAATGTACCAGACTCGAGCAGGAAGCTAAGAAATGGGTCAGCAGATACAACGCCACAGTCAGCGCCGTCACTACCACCACATCGGCAGCAGAGGAAGCAGTGTCAAAGAACGACGTTTGGTTCTGGCTGGAGGAGGGGAATGGGGAGGGATTGGGTTTGTCTAGCAGGGGCGGCTCATCCCGCGCATTTCCCGTTCCATGTGGCGCCCCAACTCTCCCTCGTCTCCTATGTATCCACGGCCTCTCCCTGGTCTCCTGCCCCGCGCGCTCTCCTCCACGTCCCCGCCGCCCTGGCGCTCGCGAATTTGCGACCCAATGGGAGGGGAGGACCACTCCGACCTGACGGATCTCGTCGCCAAGGTCACAGAAGTGAACGCCTCTCTCCCAGAGTACTTCGCTCGCATGATTGTGGAGGAGCCCAAGACCCTTAAGAAAGGCATGTCTACTGACACACTGATGAAATGATACAAATGCATCCTCGCCAAGATCCCAGACGCGGTCAACACCATCCAGTGTCAGCTCCAGCTGATCCAGGGAGCCCACGCATTGAAGATATCGCAAAAGGCGCAAAAGAAACGCAGCACCGCTGGTGCGAGCAGCGCCGCGGCCAGCTGAGTTGCCGCCGACGCGAGTAGCCAAGCAGCCTCTCTCGCTCATACCAAGAGGATGGACACTCGATGTCGCTTTCGGGGGTCGGCAATCAAAATCGCCCGTGGGGAAAACCCGACAACCGAAATTTGAAGATATTTAACCGACATCGCATTCGGAAGCCTGAAAAATAATATGTCCTAAAGGTTTTCATTGTTTTCGATTTCGATGACGCACTGACCCAATGACGACTCGATGACACCCGATGGCACCCTTACCCGATGACACCCGGTGACGCCCGATGATTCCTATCGCCGAACCTGGTGTTTTTTTACAGGGATCGCGCAATCCAATGACACCTGATGACACCCGATGACACACCCGATGCCACACCCGATGACACACCCGATGACACCTGATGATGCCAAACGCGCTTGATCAAAATATCGGTTTTCTTTTTTTCCATAAAAAAGCATTCCCGTGCCGATGGGCCCATGCCGCCGTCGCCCCCTCCAGTCGCTCGCTCCGCCTCTCGAGCCCTGGCAAGCTGCTCGCCAGAGTTACGCGAGTTCAGCGTTTCGCTTATTTCAGTTCAAAGCCCTCTGGAGCCGCGGGGTCCTGTCGTGGAACTCGCGCGCTTCCAGGGGAAGGGTGCCTCTTGGTGCCTCTTGGTAGGTGCCGCACGCGAGCCGCGCGGGAGCTGGCCGTGAAGAGCGGCTCGAACAGGGCCGCAAGTAGGATAAAGCGCGTCCGAAAGGGGCTGCCAGGATAGGCAGTCCGAAATGGACTGCAATGAAGACGAGGCCTTGCGTTGTTCGGCGGGACGGCGTCTCAGAGTGGAGCAGGAAGGGGAGGTGAGTGGAGGGCGGGGAAGGTCAGGGAGGTCTAGAGGGCACGGGTCAGAAGCAGGACGGGGTGGGAGAGGGTGGGAGGGTTTCGGGAGTTCTCGACGGCACTTGGAGGGCGGAGAGGGTCAGGGAGGTCTGAAGGACACGGGGTCAGATGCATGACGCGCGTGCCTGCTCTCGTCCTGGCAGAGTTCTAGGAGGCTCAATTGAACATGGACGGCGCAAGCAGAAAGCGGCGGCGACCCCCCTCGCCCCCCGGCCATGGGATGAAGACCTTGGCACTGGGATTGACCACGTTGCAAGGCCACTGGACAGGCTTTAGCAGAAGAGTTGATAGACATGTATTCAGTCGGCGGCCGCATGACAGCAAAAACGCGGTGCATCTTGTGTCACTTCGCGTCTGAAGCTGGCGTTGCAGAAGTGGCACAGTATGCGCTGAAGCCCTGTGATAGCACTGGCAAGTATCAGAAGAAGCTAGATCGCGTACTAGAGTTGCGTCAACTTGACGATAGGTTGCATCAAATGACTATACCAGGAACCAGCAGGACCGACCTAGACCGACAACCTCAGATCGTCCACCTAACTCCGCCGCACGAAGCGCTCAAGTCTGAGCTAGACGGACAACCTGAAATTAGATCTAAGTGGAGTGAGGAGGTCAACGCGGGGAGATGGATAGAGGACTATGAGACACACCTGTAGTTCAAGGTGCGAGCGCCCAGGACAGAGAACGGATATTGCCACTTGCTCTTTATTTAATCAAAACGCCGTACACCAACAAAGACGGGTTCCTCGCCATCTACGTTAATTTCTTGACAACAGGCCGTAGGCATATGATCACTTCCCTCAGGCAGGCAGACTCATGCTCGTGCGGGTGTTCTCATTGGTGTTCGTTATGCCCAGTCTATGGATTTGTAGCGTGGAGCCTCAGATCTCCGCGGTCGGGAGCTTGCTCAGGAGCCAGACACGGTGGCCATGCTTGGAAGGACGGTGACGAAGATCGGGCAGCAAATGCTGGCCAGGCGGGGGATGGGGAGAAGGCCAGGGGTGTTTGTGATCTTAACGTCTTGCCAAGCGTCGTTGGGCATCATTGGGCATCATCGGATTGTCATTGGATTGTCATTGGGTTCTCAGGGTGTCATTGAATTGTCACTTGACTTCCACGTGCCATCGTGCCTAGCGTGACTGCGATGCTAGCACGTGCGTGGCGCGCACGAGTACATGCAAATTGCAATGCTTTCTCGAGAAAGGTTTCGCCCTAGGGCCGGGGGCACATGTGGGGCCTAGCAAGATGGATGAGGGTACTTTGTTGAAGCAGGGGGCGTCAGAGGGAATCTGATTACACGGGGAGAGTAGAGCAATGACAAGGGTGGGAGGGGATGTTGGGAGGCTCTTGGTTTCAAAGCAGTGCTAATCGACCTCAAGGCGGACTGTCCAGAATTATCAAGAGGGATGAGGCTGCCTTCGCATTCTAGCAAGCATGCGCCCTGCATGTTCTGCAAGCTTGGCCAGGACGACGTCAGAAAACACAATCCTGCCCTGCCGCTTCCAAAGCACGACGCTGGCTACTGCTGGAGGGAGTGCGACCGACACGAGTTCACAGTGCGCCTCGCAAGCGCTGAACCATATCGAAAAGTGCGCTTCAGGACCGAGTTTCCGTCAACCTCGCGCGGCCGATCAACTGTCAAAGACATCCCCGCACTCGGGGCTCTCAAGGGTGATCCGGTCGAGCCGACGCGCCACCTGCTTGACGCGGCAGAGTCCGACGCTGTTGCCACCAACCCATTCCTACCATTCACGATCACAATGTGGCGGCCCACCGACGACATGA